CAGTGGCACTCTAAACCATGTTTTTATTTCAGTAGTTCTTAATGATCTTCTAAACTTGATTTATTATATAAGCATGTAATGTGCCATTTACAGAAGTAATATATTTCCCACCAAATTTGGTTAAACTCCTTTTGAGTATAATAGAAACTGAAGGAACACGGCAGCTTCTAATTATGCAGCATTTTGCTAGCCTGAAACCTAGAATAACCTTAGCAAGTCTCTATGATTATGTGTGTTCTACTGGGAGGGAACTAACATAGTGAAAGAGAAGGTTTTGAAGTCTGTCTTATTTTTAAGGATCTTACTTGAAGCAGGCATATAAAATATAAATATATGATACTAATAATTATTAGAATGACCAAAATATAGGGTTTTTGTATATATATATATACTATAAGGTTAAAAAAAGTGTAATTTATATGTATAAGTATGTACCTTCTTATACATATACTGCTATACACACACACATAACACATACAAATATAAATACAAAACCAGGTAGTAAGCAGACTATTAACTTACACTTTCATCTCTTAACAGTAGGGTTGCCCATCTCACAAATCATATTTCTGTGGGAAATGAAAGGTACACTGCTGCCAGCATTTTGTAAGAAATAATGACACACTTTACTACCTGTAAGTGCTGACTGAGTGCTTCTGCTTTTCCTTCCCAAGGTGACTGTAACACAGATTGATGAAAGATTCGTCAGGACTACAAAGGTTAAAGATGCAGACCTGGAGCTAGGAGGCAGCCCTGACACTGATGGAATACAGTACAATGAGAGTGCCCACATTATTGTCCTATCCTCTGATAAGCAGTGTAATATGAAAACTGACTACAGGAGGAACAAATTAAATCCATTAATCAAGCATATCTGTGCTAAACAGTTGCTCTAAAGAGATGAACAAATGAAAAATTTACTGTTTGTTTCCATGCTTGCTAGCACTGGAGAAGAAAATTAATTATAAGGCTGTGGCTAAACTATTAGTTAAGTTTTTTCTTGGGAAAACTATTTATTGCTTTGTCAAAGAACAAATGAACCTCATTAGTGAGATTAGTTTCAGCTGATCATTTTGCATTAGGACAGTCTAATAGTATACCCTTTAAAGATACATTGAAGGAAATAACTTCAAAGAACCAAAGTCCATTTTTTACCTCTTACAGAATTAGACTGCTAAATCAGAAATACATGATTTTTTCACCCAGCTAAAATACAGCTCCATTTTCTTCATATTGCTCAGGTAAAGTGGCTGTTGACTGTAGTTAGCTGTTTGTCAGAGATTCACAAAGGTGTCTCTCTAGTCAAGGGGTCTCACAATTCACTCACAAAACTCCACTCTTGAAGTACATTAGCTGAAACCCAGCTAGTTCTTAAAACAAAACAAAATAAAACCTCTTAATAAGGATTATTTTTTTTTTAAGAAAATGAAATCACAGTCTGATTAAAACTCAATGAAATTCTTCCGAAAACTTCTATTGATAAAGGGAAGAAAGATATATGGAAATTCTCTAATAGACAGAGAAAAGAGTACAGGCCATTTTCATACAGAGGTCTATCATCCTGCTTGAAACTATTATTAAGTTACTCCTGCTTTGGATAGAAAGGAAGCTAGCACTCTATGAACTGTAGCATTCATAGCAAATTATTACTTGCAGAAGGTCAGATAAGTTACGTATCTACCAGCAGAAGTGTATGAGGTTTTGTAGTACAGCATTTATGCTGAAGTTTTTAATCTCTTTTTCAAAAATGAAGTTCTTCACGGTGAAAGCCTCTGGCTTGCAACAGGCTCTGCTACAGTGCTGGGTTTCTCATGATACAAGTGCCTCCCATGGGGAATTGAACTGAAATCATGAAGATAAAACAGCCAGACATCAAAGAGTAATTAGCTTGTCACTACTCAATTGACCTGATTCCCACTGGAAGTCTAGAGGCAAAGAAGTAGTTGTCAAACATCATAGCTAATGAAGTCTGTTTCCATTGTTTTTATGTCTCACGAGTACCAGCCTTGCAGGGTAAACCTATGGGAAGAGGTTACAAAACTCTTGGGACATTTGAGAAGTGTTTTCTCCCACATAGGGTCCTCATGTCTCATATGGCAATAGCAATCTGCTATTATTCTTCAAATTTGCTGCATTGTTATTGTGTATTTTTTTGCCCAACAATTTATTTTTATAAACTTTGAATAAACTTATATTTTGCCTGTGTCCTCTGCTGGAACTGACCCACAGATTAAAATGTTACTGAGGGGAAAGAGGAGAAGGAGTTATAACAGCACAGGCAAACACATAGATACGCCCATCTAAGAGTTGTCATATCACACTATTACTCATCTTCTGATCCACACAGCAACACAATTTGGATTCCTGACTGCTGAAAAGCAATATTTAAAGATGAAATTTTGTGCAACTATGGATGGTTTCCTTTATGTTTCAAAAAAATACAAACCAAACCCAAACACCCACCCCATCAAAAAAAAAATACCAGATTCAAGCATTTATTTTGTAACATAGTTTAACTACAAGAAGAAGGGATCCCCGATAACCACTCTTGAAGGCACAATAAGGGCTGGTGTTTCCTGGGGGTAATGTTCAAAATTACCTTGAAGATTTAACTGTAGACCTCACACTCTTATCACGTTCAGGCATTCCTGCAGTTTAAATACAACAACCTGTCTTTATATTGTTTTAACTCAGTTTAACTCTGTTGTGGTAACAGATCCATCCAGCCTTAAGCTTTTTTAGTAGGAAAAAATGTATTCAATACAAGCCTCACATGGTGTTTCAATGTTTGCCTTTTATAATCCAGCTATGTGGCAGGTGTCCAGAGGTTATCTTTAACCATATTTCTCCTTTCAGTACATGACAGGATAAAATCTTTGACATTATGTCCTTAGCAGGAGATGACTGCATTAGCCCCTATTCCCCATAGTAACATTTGACACATTGAAGCGTGAATGGTGATATCTGGAAGGTAATGTGGTATGGGCATAAAGGCACATGATTCAAAACCTCCCTTCTTGTTTTCCACTGCTAGAGCACTTAGCCTTAGTAAGAATTCAAGTCATCCTTTGTGGAAACAGCACTTTTAAGATTATCCAGAAGAGTCTTCTCTTTTACTGCAGTAAATCTTCTGTGAATAAGGGGCAACCGGCTACCATAAAAGGACAGACTTTTCTGCAGTCTGTACAGTCTCTGATGACTCTGACCTGTAGCTGCACTCATGATTTTGAATGATAAAAGTAGCTTCTACTTTTTGCATGAAGGATGTGTGGTATGTCGTATAGATGATAAAAACAGCAAATGGAAATGGCATGTAATAAAACTATCTGAAATATCTATTACTGTGAGAGAAGTTTACAAGTCAAGGTAGGTGAATAGAGGAACATAATAACGGCAACATTATTTGTGAAACAATGGAAATAATAATATGGACTACTGGTGCTTAGCCACAAATGATAAAAAACATTTGGTTTTCCTTCTCAATGATATGGGGGGTGGGTGGGGAGGAGAGGGTTCTAAATAAATGAACTAGAAAATAGATAGAGGATGCTATTATATCTACAGCATTTCATGGAGTTGAATAGCAGCAAGTGATGGATTCGAGAATATCATGAAGCTGAATGAAATAAAATGATGGATTCACAGAATATATATATTAATAAAATGGAAATAACACGTTATTTACTCAGATTTCCTATTGGAAGTAAAAGATTAAAGTAAAATGGAGGACCTGCAAGGAAAGGCTATTTGAATTTTGAATTTTCCCAAAATACCCTAGACTTATTGTAAAATAAGCTTGAAAAAGACCAATTCCAAATTGACTTTCCACTGCCAGTGCTGTTGTCTGTGATATGAAAGGTTGGAGTTGGTGGTCTGAAATAGGCAAATCTTGAAACTCGGTGTCTCATTTCAGGTAATGTTGCATTGTTTCTGTGGGATGAATTATTTTCTTCTGTTACTTTTGCCTTAAATGCTTCCAAAAGTCTCTCTTCTCTCAAGGCAGAATAAAAGGAAAAATTCAGATTTTTTTTTATGCATTCAGAAACTTTATCTAGACAGATTTTTTTTATATGCTGGACTTACAGATGAGTTACAGCACCCTAGATTACACTTTGGGCTCCCTGGAACATTTGAATTTTACCAAACTAATCTACTATAGTTTCATTTCAGAAAATTATGTTGACACAAACTCTTTTTACAGGTTTGCTCACTGAAAACTCAAGTGTTTATTTTATATTTTTATAGATGTAATTTGTTCTGGTAGAATGACCTCTCTTGAGGCTTTCTTCGTAACTTTCAAGAACATTTTATATTTCTTAACGTGTTACTCTGATCTCTAACATATTTGGCTGCCTGCTAGATATGGAGTCTTCAAAAAATCATTTATGAATGAATTTGTGAGACTATCGTCTGATAAATGTGCTCGCATTAGTACTTCATCAGGAAGCTCAAGGGAGATCTAGAAGCATAAACAGTCTGAATTCAGAGATGAATCAACTCGACCCCCACCCTACCCCTCCCTATCCAAACCCAATCAGGTTTTAATCTTGAAAATTTAAGTTTTTATTAAGCAATTAGAGGAGAAAAAAAAATACTAAAGCAAGGTCTCTGCAGACTTCAGCTCCCCTTAACAAGGGGGAGAATTCTATCACAAGGGCCAGAGTGGTATTTCTGGACATATCTTTCCTAGCAACACTGCACCCATCTGTACACACACAGCAGTAAGATTTCTCCTCTTTATGTTATCAGAGATATCAAGAAACTCCATGAGACCCAGGCTTTGGTCACATGACCTGAATTAATTATCTTAAACTGCAAATACACTGTGACTCCTTGTAAACTTTCATCCTGCCAAGATCAAGCTCAAGCTTCTTTCCCAGTCAAGAAGTTTGACTACTAAACTCTTGTTTGTTATGAAAAGATTAACACTTCTGTCTTCAAGACTTATTAACTTCAGAAACAGCTAATTCCTAACAGTGCTGACCTAACATATTTCTTACCTTATTAAACTCATGTATCTCAGTGAGTGCTGAAAGATGAATTCCTTTCAAGAATCAGCCACTTAATAATTATTTTCTCTATCATGTAAGTAGTTTGCTTTCTTAATATATTTAATTCCAGCTTTGACCAGTGAAAGAATTTCTCCTTGCAGTATTAAACCTAGAACAGAGAAACATAAGAAAATACAAAAAAAAAAACCCAGAAATTAATTTATTGGGTTTATTATATTTATTAATTTATTATAAATGATTTTGTTCTAGTTCAACAATTTGAGACAGTTTTTGTCTATGTTGTTTATTACTTTAATAATATAAAAAGCTGTTTCTCATACATTAAAAGTTAATTTCTAAGAGTAATGCTAATAAATGCTAATCTCTAATATTACAAAAAATTTGCAGCAAATGTTATCAAATGTATTACAATTTCAAAGACTATCTGAAGTTCCAAATTCTCCAGCTACTAATCCAAAACCAAGATCTAGAGGTATGTCAAAAAGGTTTTCGCTAACTAGATTCATTACATATAAAGTAGATAACAGATAAAAAGAGCAAAACAAAACCAGATATTTTTTCGCTTAGAACTTCATGTCAGGAAGTATAATTCCGTATCTGATGAGAAAGGAATAGAATGCAGAAAGAAAAGTCAAGTAAAATTTCCCTTCATCTATAACTATTAATATTTGTTGTACTTTAAAGAGTTTCTATTACAGACAGAAGTTTTGTTCTCTGTTTAAGATAAATTATCAGGGACAAGAATTTGACTGCAGTTGCTCCCATCTGGAATGACTCAGTAAATTTTAATGAGATAGAATAGCAATAGCAAAGACTAGAGTATTACAGTTTAAGTCAACATAGGTCATGAGGATTTACACTGAAGAAACTTAAATCAGGTTGTGGCCACTGGTGATCTAGTCAAAACCAAAAAAAAAAAAAAAAAAAAAAAAAAAAAAAAAAGAAAATATCCCAACCTGCAATCTGTCAAGGGTGGCTCCAGAACAAGCTTCTTTTCATACAGCACAGGAATACTCTTCTTTAGGATATCTCTTATCAGAGAAGCCTTTTTACAGGAACTGGAGAGCAATAGCATTCTCTGTAAGCAGTACCCTCCTATGCCGCAGCTTCTGCATGCTTGATAGTAGCGTAGGCGGGAACTCCTACCTGCAATAAACCAAAGGCAATAAATGAAAAAAAAAAAAAAAAAAAAAATTAAAAAGAAAGGAAAATTACTCCTGTGGAATTTCTATTCTCTAAAAAAACCTCCAAAATACATCTGATTTTCCATAGTCATATGGCCTACTTTTGTTATTTCTACTTGAATGTTGAGCTTCAATTCAACTAATTCAGTAATTTTCTATTAACCACAGTATTAAAAATAAGGTGTAGGCAAAGGACAGAGTGTTGGAGGCTAAACTCCAGATCACCAGACAAATTTCAGATATACCTTCTTCTCCCATCCATTATCTATCACCTATTCATTTTTCCAGGTTGCATTGTTCTGTACTGAAATTGAGTGAATTTGAAACAAACTAAAAATAATTTTATCCATGTCTCTGAAATGAATGAAAAATAGCAGGAGCTCAGCACTTTGAAAACTTGGGCAGGTGCCTAACTATAAGTATGGACTTGTTTCTGAAAATCTTAATCACAGGATTTATTTCTCTGCTGTAACATGCAATAGAATAAATGAGATTATGAAAACCATAAACTATTTCATTTTCACTTGGTTGGCTTTCTAGACAGGTAAAATAAAGATAAATGCTCTCCAAGTCAGGCTTCTCGTTTTGACATTCTTATTACAAATAATATAAATTGTATAAGAAGCCCTCCCTCAGATCTGAAGGAAAGGGTTTTCACATAAGGATTTGCAAATTTATGATCAGCATTGTTGCTTTGTGTGTATTTTGAATGGTAGTATTTAAAAGATTTTTTTTTTTTTTTTTCAGAGATAAAGAGCCTCTGGGAGAACTAATTTGTTTTCAAAGTCCATCATCCAGAACACCCTATTAAGCGGATGTTGTTCCATAATAACCCATGGCCTCTTACTGATGCAAAATAAGTTATGTTATCGCTAATTTATACAGCTTTTCTACATTTCTTTTTGTTATCTGACATCTTTGAAACAATACATTTTTGTCATCTGTTAGACTACCATGGTATAGTTGGTTTAGGTACTGCATGGACAGACTCAGGACACAATCAAAAATCATATCTGCTTTCTGCTGTATTACGTACCTTACTCTGTCAAATAATTCAAAGCCCCATACTTTATAAAGTCCTTCAGAATGGGCAGGATGGTTTCTGAGAGCATGCTGCATCTTGTAAGGCTTCTTATGAGTTTCTCAACTACCTGTCTGCTCACTGCATCATTTTCCCTTTAATAGCTGGTCTGTGTTGTATGTTGATAAACCATGATCTTGTACCAAAGGGTCCCAATGCACATGATGTTTATGTGGCCATCTCCTTATTCAATAGAGTCAATATCTTCATTAAGAGAACTGCATTCATAAACACAGTAGAGGCCACTGAAAACTGATTATTCCTGCAGAAAGGGATCTATGGAGTTTGAGGGGACCTACAGGGAAATCAAGAAAGCAAAATTACAGTATGTTGTTCCTTGCAGAAGGATTATAAACCCCTGCAGGAACCCCTTAAAAAAGTGAATTCCTGAGAAGCAATAGCTCATAAAAAATGGTGTTTTGACATGGGCTTTAAGTTTTGCTTTTTTTTTTTTTTGCTTTTTTTTTTTTTAACTCCTATGGAAAAATGCCTTTGAAAACAAATCTGTGTGTGAAAAGAATGAAATGTTCAGATAAAGGTGTGAAACAGAAAATCTAAATATAAGACTCGGTTAAAATTTCTTTAAAAGAATACAGTATTCCAATACTATGCAGTAAGCAGACAAAAAGATAAATAGAGCTTGTCATCCCTTCATTGAAAACATTATTAATGATTTAAGTTGACAAAACTGTAAAATATTGCAATTTAAAATTCAGGTATGAGAGAAAAAAATAATTTGAAACTGCACTGCACAATATTAGAATAACATGCTTAGAAATAACTACCCTACTTTTGGAAGTAGTCATTTATCATTTTCTTAGCATGTTTAGTTTTGTCCTTTTATCAGTTGATGTATTCTCCCTGAAGTAAGTAAGGAACAGAAGTTTTCCCTTGGAGAAAACAAACCAAACCAAATAATAAAAAAACAACATTACTTTAACTGTGTTGAACTGTAAATGATTTACCCTGAATATGTAAATGCCTTTCTGGATAATTTCGAAGACTCATATATACGTGTATTTATACAGACCTTGGGAGTTATTTAGAAGTCTGTAAGACTGTTCCACAAATGCTTAGGCTGACTAAGGACATGTTCCCTGGTGTGCAGAGAAAGTGTGGGATGCCTGCTTGATACCACAAAGCTGAATGGGATCCAGTAATGAACTTCTGTCATGGCAGCAAGGGAGGTGAGATTGTATGCAAACTGAAGACAATAAACAAATATAAACAAAGAAATTTGATACCTGCTTCTAACATTGTCACAATTAGTTAAGACACAAGTAGATGAGAAAATATTTCATACATAAATATCTTATTCTTATAAGAAACCATTTCTTTGTAAAGTAAACAAGAAATGACCCCAGAATTAATGCAAAATGAAGGACTGTCGCATAGGTTTCTTGAAAATGCGGGCCATGGAAAATGGCCTATGGCTGTAAATACAGGTGGCCACTTATTGACCCACTTGGACACAAACAAGTCTTAGGGCACAACAAAAACAATGGCAAAACAGGGCTGTATGTACAGCTAAGTTTGTTCTGAAGAACACTGAGCAACACAGGAAAGCATTGAGAAAAATCTCTTGTCAGAGAAAACTTGAATCTTGAGGGATAATTAGGAACAGCAGGAACTTCTGCTCCAATTATCTATTCTATGAAATGGCAAAGAATTCCATATGAACCTATGAGAATTGTGCATATCTAATGGAATTGACTGGGTGGTCTTTGGACTGAGTCCACAATGAAAATAACTGGTTGGACTGGTGCCTTCCTTCAGCATCTAGTATGCAGAATTGATCACTCTGATATCCCATGGTACTACGTAAGTACTGTTTTGATTGTCACTAAATGAGAATTATATTGTTATTGCTTGTGTTTGGTCTGATACCCTGCCCTTGAAGCTTGGTATTCATTGCAGGTGAAACAGTGAACCAACTGTAGCCAGCAATACAAAAGAGATTATTGTTTCTGGATCATATCAATGGAAGTTGGGAGTCTTTATCTCCAGCTTTTGATTCATAGATAGAGACAAAAGATATTGTGAATTTAATAAAGCAGATAATGAAAAAAGAACGGCACTACATCAGTGCTGACTTTCACTGCACATTTTACTGCAATCGCTACCTCTTAGATTTCTAGCTTTTCAGAAAAAATTAAAACAGTTCTTCACTTTGAATACTAGTTGGATTTTAACAGTTAAAAAATGACATGATGACCATATATTCTGAATAACACTAAGACCCTCTTGCTCCAAGTATTATTTCTACAACTGTAATTGCTTGAGGAACTTAACTTCCATTAGAAATAAGTAAGAGTTTGTGTAACAGCACCTGAGATTAATGCTCCTTAATGCTGGAAGGCAGCTATGGCTGCCTCATTTCTGATTCACATTGAGTCACTGCACCTTCTCTTGGTTTCAAAGTCAAAACCTTCCAGTCTAGATGTGAGATGTATTTAATCTTCAAATAAGCTTCAGAACAGATCGTCTCTCTTCTGTCTTTATCAGCATGAGCTCAGTGACACCAGGCTCTTCGTCAACATTAGCAGTGCCTCCTGAGTGAATCTCTCAGAAGCAAAATGAAGGGAACTGAAAATAATATATGCCTACCTGGGTAGGTGGCAAGAACATGAAGTTTAGGAAACAGCATGCTGCTCTGCTAGCGCCATCTATTTTGGATTAGGCAACATAGAGCAGAGGGAAGTCATTTTTCTGTAGAATACTGCATAGAATCATGTCAAGGCTGTAAGACTTCTGGTCTGAGTCCTGACACTGAAGAACACTATGGAACTTTTTCCACAGTTTCCCCCCATAATAAAAATGCCCTACAGTGAATTTGATCATATCTCCTGATAAGATTATTTTACAGAAGATACCTTT